TCTGTGGACTGAGAACCAACAAGAACACATAACAACTACAGATTGATGTACATGACAACATCACCTGAACTTAATCGACAAATGGAAGAGTCAAGAACAGAATAAAATTATATAAACAGAGGATCTGGAAGGTCAGTCTATGATCAAAACAATTACAATATGAAAGAAGGTAAACACAGAGGAACAGAGATCCAGGTGGTGGGTGGGAAGGTCAGGTAGATTACTGGATAAAATAGACTGTCTTAAATGGAAGGAAGAACTAATGAAATATAAGGTAACCACAATGGGGTTGGGGTGGGGGGTTTATTTTGGGTATTGGGGAGGGTAAGGGGGTAGGAGGCAGAAGAACAAGAAAGATAGGGGAACACTGAGGCAGGTTTGCATGGCCTAGTGGAACAGAGGTAAATAGTGATGCATATTCAACCTTGGAACAACAGGGCTCTGGGATACAGGGATCTAGGTATAGTTTGAAGAGGGTAAATAATACTAAAATCCTTGACTGCCTTATGGATATTAGTTTCCCTTGCTTACTATTGTAAAATAGACACCTGAGTGGGATAGAAAGGAATGTTTGGGACACATGATTAGAGAAAACTTGTAAGCCTGCCTTCAGCCTATAACTGACTGGAGTACCTCAAAGGGGTTCTACAACTTGCCCAGTGAAATAGGCCTCATGCAAAACCTTTACAAAGTATAGGACCTTAGGTGGAATCCTGAGTCCCATCTACAACCTTATGAGGTGAGATATTCCCACTAGAAAGGACAAGCAGACTGGAACAGCTACAGTGACAGAAGATACATCTTCATGATGAACCTGACCTATACTCAGAGCCGTAGTTATTCTAAATACCAACAGAGAGGGAAAGAGTCTTCACATCAAGTATCAATGCTATCCCCTCTGTACACAGGGTCGATACGGATGGGCAACATAGACATTGGCTACCTAAAATGAGGGGGCAATAAAGGCACGAAGTGACTGGCTTACAAGGTTTCAAGAGGGAGTTTAGTAAGAGTATTGGGGAAAGAAAGAGTCCCCACTGAATAGCTGTCTTCTTGTCTAGGTGGGTCTGGTGAAAAGGGATGGGGATAAGATTCGTAAGATTCAGTAGTGAATAATTGTTAACATGACTAATTGCGACTGTCACAATTGTAAAAGTAGAAGTTTTGTAATAAAAAAAAAGGGGAGTGGTTAATATTCTCAAGAGAGAAGCACACAAGCAGAATGCGGGGCCTTCATTTTACCAAGCATGTTGTCTTTCTCCAGGGATTGGTCCCTCCTGATAATATGTCCTAAGTATGAGAGACGAAGTTTGTCCATCTTGGCTTCCAAGGAGCATTCTGGCTGTACTTCTTCCAACACAGATTGCTTTATTCTATGGCACTTCATGGTATTCCGGCCCCCCCCGCCCCCAACCATGGTACTTTTAATATTCGCATCCAACACCATAACTCAAATACATCAATTCTTCTATGGTCTTCCTTATTCATGGTCCAACTTTCACATGCACACGAGGTTACTGAAAATACCATGACTTGGGTCAGGTTCACCTTAGTCCTCAAAGCTATCTTTGCACTTGAACATTTAAAGAGATCTTGTGCCGTAGATTTGTCTAATGCAATATTTCATTTGATTTCTTGACTGCTGCTCCATGAGTACTGATGGTTGATCTGACTAAATGAATCATTAACAACATCACTCTTTTCTCCATTTATCATGATGTTGTTTATTCGTCCAGTGGTAAGGATTTTTGGTTTTTTTTATATTGAGGTGAAACTCATAGCAAAGACTGTGGACTTTGATCTTCAGCAGTCAGTATTTTAAGTCTTCTTGGCTTTCAGAAAGCAAGGTTTTATCTACTAAACATCGCAGGTTGTCAAAGAGTTTTCCTCCAATCCTGCTGCCATGTTTTTCTTCATATAATCCAGCTTTTCAATTATTTGCTCAGCATACAGATTGAATAAATAAGGTGAAAGAATACAACCCTGGTGCACATCTTTCCTGATTTTAAACTATTCAGTGTTCCCTTGTTCTGTTCAAACAACTGCCTTCTGATCCATGTACAGGTTCCTCATGAACACAATTAAGTGTTCCAGAATATTCATTCTCCACAACGTTGTTGTGAGCTACACAATCGAAAGCCTTTGCATAGTCAATAAAGCACAGGTAATCTTCTTTCTGGTATTGTCTGCTTTCAGCCAAGATCCATCTACGTCAGCAATGAGAACCCTTATTCCAAGTCCTTGTCTGAGTCCAGCTTGAAGCTTTGGAAGTTCGCTGTCAATCTAGTGTTGCAGTCGTTTTTTAATTATTCTTAGTAAAATCTTTTTGCATGTTATACTAATGATATTGTCTGATGATTTCATATTCCATTGGGTCACTTCTCTTTGGAACAGGAACAAATATGGAGCTCATTCAATCAGTTGACCAGGTAGTTGTCTTCCAAATTTCTTGGCATAAATGACTGAGTGCCTCCAGTGCTGCATCAGTTTGTTGAAAGATTTCAATCTGTATTCCATCAATTCCAGGAGCCTTGTTCTTTGCCAACATTTTCAAGGCATCTTGGACTTCTTTCTTTAGTATCACAGATTCCTGATAATATGCTGCCTCTTGAAACAGTTGAACATTTTGCCCATAGAATCCTTCAATATTGAAAACCGAGGCTTGAATTCTTCTTCAGTTCCCTCAGCTTGAGAAATGCCAAGTATGGTCTTCCCTTTTGGTTTCCTAACTCTAGGTTTTGTACATCTCATTCTAAAACTTTACTTAGTCTTCTCTAGCTGGCCTTTGAGATTTTCTATTCAGCTCTTTCACCTACTCATTTCTTCCATTATCTTTAGCATCTCTACTCTGGAAATCAATTTCAGATTCTTTTCTGACATCAATTTTGGTCTTTTTCTTTTTTTCACATCTTCTTAATGAATTTTTTGTTTCTTCCGTATGATCTTGATGTCATCCCACAACTCTTCTGATCTTCAGTCAGGCATTAGTGTCTAATTCATCATATCTGTTCTTCAGATGATCTCTAAATTCAGGTGGGATATGTTCAAGGGCATATTTTGGCTCTTGTCAAGTTGTTTTAATTTTCTTCAGCTGCAGTCTGAACTTGCATATGAGCAATAGATGATATGATCCAGTCTGCCCCTGGCCTTGTTTTGACTGATAATATGGAGGTATGTGTTCACAATGTATATAACAGAAAATATTTTGCTTTCAGGACCTTATTACCCTTGAAAAATTCTTTAAGACCTTAAGAGCTTTTGTTTATGTAAGTGATCTTTGTACAATTAAATTAAGACTGACAAAAATTGAAAAAAAATTATTAAAAGTAGCAGAAAGTATATATTATAGATAACACAGTCTTCCTAATTTCCAATTTTTCAAATGAAAAATCTTGTGATGGCATTGTTTTATATGTCTGTTTTATTGCTGGTGTGATTAAAAGCATTTGAATTCTCATTAGATTCTGTCATCAATCAGATAGGATATATTATTTGAATTTAATTTTATAAAGAAAGTTTAGCCTCACACAGGTATGGAATGGAAAAAGGGAGACACTATTGAGAGGATCATGGGGACCCACTGGGGTCTTCATACTATATATTGAGAATTACTCTGAACCAGACGGTCGGCAATAAAAGCCCACCGGCTGCTGCTCCTCAGAAACTCTGTACAGGATTTCTCTGAGTCAAAACCAACTTGACAACACTGAACAAAAAGAACACCATACCATCTAATACCTGGTCATCATTCAATAATTATTTGATAAAGTATTGAAAAGTCTTGAGAAAAAGAAATATATTCTTGGGGATACATATAAACATACCCAAATATACAAATGGTTTTTCATTCAATTGATAATATTCTTTGTAAGTGCTCTTTTTATGACAGGAAATGTCAATTATTTCAAGTTTTCATCTCATTACAATTTAACTGGGATTTAGACTGCTAGATGGTAGTTTGAACTAGAGTGTGAAAACAGTAAATAAGAAAACAAAAACAAATGAATTAATTCCAAAATTTGAAACAAATAGATGACTAAAAAGAGATATTTTAGTTGAAATATCACAACTAAATAATTTGGTTAATTTGGAAATGATATTTGTCTTTATTAAGCAGTAAAGTAGACTGAAACACTTTACTGAACATAAGCTGGATCTTAAAATTGTTAGGATCCTACATGACATTTCTAGTTATACTCTGAGACCACAAGAAAAATTCTGTTATGTTTTTAGTACTTCCAATTCAAATATGAACATGAATTAACCAAATAATCAAACTGAACATTATATTGACTCAAACATTTAACTTTAAAATAATAACTCTATCACTTTAAAATAACTTTAATTAAAATCAGAAATTACAAATATTATTTTTACAGATTACATATTGTATATTTTTTATCATCTCACTATTTGGATAAAGAATAAAATAACTTACTTTTCCTTCTCTTGAAACTGAGGCTCCGTGGAGACTATTTTAGGTTCTGTTCCAAGATTTTTTGGCATTCGATGCCTCCTTTTTCTACTTGGTGCAATATCAGTGACATCAGGGCTCGAAATAAGGGAATCATCTTTTCTAAAAGTGCCTAAAAATTTAAAATAAAAAAGCATGTGGCAAACATTATGCATACAAATCATCTTGGTGCTTTAGCAGTGACATAAAGGAACACAAAGATACAGTGGGAGTCCTGGTGCGGTGCTGTTGGATAAGCACTGGACTGTAAATCAAAAGGTCAGCAGTTCAAACCCCTCAACTGTTCCTGAAAACCCTCTATAGGGTGGTTATGAGTCAAAACCCACTCAACATTTAACAACAAGAAGAAGATACAATGAAGCCTGTGAGAGCCAGAAGTTATCAGGTCTCCTTGTTTTTCTGGGTGTCATAGTTCGCTGCCTTTGCCAGGGTATAATCATAACTGTTTCCTATCACTATTTAAGGAAAGTATTTGAGTTTCTCCTTCTCTGACAGGCTTCTACCTTAAACAGTGTCTATAACAAAATTGTTCTTTTAGACATTTATGCAGATTTAGTAAAATGAGCCAGATGAATAGTATGTAATACTTTACTACCAATATAAAACATATAGGATGTGGTGCACTTGGCATCATTTGATAAAAATGGTTTTTGCCTACCTTAGCAACAACCATACCCAATACATTATTACCATAGTTTAATGTCAATGGTAGAACTAGATACAGGCCATAATGACATCCCTAAAAGATGCTTTGAATAAAAATTCTTATAGGAATAATAGGAATTATTAATAATTATGAACTACATTTATTAAAAACATAAATAAGGTAATGTAGACTTACAGTGATTCAGACACAATTTCATTAATTAATTCACATTTTCAGGCCAAGCGCGAGGAGTAAGTACAAGAAAAGTGTAAGAAAATAGTAATGGATGCCTCTAATATGGCTAAACCATTAGGTTATGCCTAAAAGTTATTTGATAAACAGGAAATAGAATCACCAATACATATATGCTCAATTTATATTCCATTATTCTCTATAAACTTAGTTACAAAGAACTAAGTGGAATTTCATTTGCTCATTCAATACAGTATATAGACCAATATAACAAACCTCTCTAAAAGAAAAGAGCTCATTTGCTATTGGAAAATAAAGGAACAGTATATAAACTTGGACTTCAGATGGTCTGTGGTTCACATATTTGTTTTTCCAGCATAAGAATGATTTTAAGTCATCATGGGCAAATTTTCAGCACAATAAAAGAAAACTGCTCAGCAATATGTAAAGCCTTCAAAAGAGGAAAGCTCAAAGTCCTTGATAAGTCCATTCATTGGACTCATACAGGACTTAGAAAAAATGTGATGGGCTTAGTGAAATCAAGAAGTAGACGCTGAGAAGGCAATTTCTCTGTATCCTGGATAGCTTAAAATTTTGATGAAACTATTAGAATATGCTGCCATTCATCTGTCAGTCTGTGTACTGGGATGTCTTCTGTGTTGCAGTGATTCTGGAAGCCTCGTCACCAGTACTTTAAATCTCAGAAGAATCATTTGTGATGGACAGGTTACAGCTGAGCTTCCAGATGAAAACTAGGACGAAGGAGAGATGGACTAATTCCAAATATCTAGTCACTGAAAACCTTATGAATACAACAGTCAGCACCAGAATACTGAATACTGAAACATGATCAAGATCACCAGAATATTTCCAGATACAGTGCTGAAAATAAGCTCCTCAGGTGGGAGGTATAAGAATACAACTGGGAAAGGGCTAGATCCTCAAAATAGAGTTCACAGTGATGACACAAATGGAGTAAAGCTTTCAGGACCTTCATTTGCTGATGGGGCACAACTCAAAATGAGGATAAATAGCAGCAAATATCCATTAATAATTGGAATGTACAAAGTATGAATCTAAGAAAATTGGAAGTTGTCAAAGATGCAATTAAACATGCAAACATTGATATTCTAAGCATCAGTGAGCTGAAATGGACTGGTATTGGCCAATTTTTAAATTAATGATCACATGGTTTACTATACCATGAATGAAAAATTGAAGAGGAAAGGCGTTACATTCATTGACAAAAAGAACATGTCAAGATCTATCCTGAAATACAATGCTGTCTGTGATTAGATAATATCCATACGCTTACAAGGAAGACAAGTAAATACAACTATTATTCAAATTTATGGATCAATTATTGAAGCCACTAATGATGAAATTGAAGAATTATATCAACTTCTTCTGTCTGAAACAGATCACACATGCAATCAAGGTATATTGATAGTAACTAGCAATTGCAATACAAAAGTTGGAAACAAATAGGAACGATCAGTTATTGGAAAACATGGTTTTGGTGATCAAAACAATGCTGGAGATGCATGATGGAAACTTACAATAGCAGTGACTTCTTCATTGCAAATACCTTTTAAACAACATAAAATACGACTGTCCACAAGGACCGCACCAGATGGAATACAGAAATCAAACTGACTACATCTGTGGAGAGATGGTGGAGAACCTCCATATCATCAGCCAAAACAAGGCCAGTGGCAGGCTGTGGAACAAACCATCAATTGCTAATATGCAAGATTAAGCTCAAGCTGAAGAAAATTAAAACAAGTACACAATAGTCAAAAGAAGACCTTGAACATATCCCACCTGAATTTAGAGATGACCTCAAGAACAGATTTGATGAATTAGACACTAATGATCAAAGACAAGATGCAGGTTGATATCAAGAACATCATACAGGAAGGAAGCAAAAGGTCATTAAGATGACAAGAGAGAATGAAAAGACCAAACTGGATGTCACAAGAAATTAAGCAACTTGCTCTTCAGCATGGAGATGCTAAAGCAAATAGAAGAAATGAGGAGGTAAAAAATTCAAAGGTCAGCTTTAGAAGACAAAGTCAAGTATTACAATGAAATGAGCAAAGACCTGGGAGTAACATGCTCAGCATTTCTCAAGCTGAGGGAACTGAAGAAAAAAACTCAAACCAGGATTTTAAATATTGAAGGATTTTATTAGCATAGTGATTACGAATCGGGCTGTGAATCGGAAGATTAGCAGTTTGAAACTACCAGCTGTTCCAAGGGAGAAAGATGAGGCTTTCTGTTTCTGTAAAGCTTTACAGCCTCGGAAACCCTGTACAGGGTCACTATGAGTCAGAACTGACTCCACGGCACATAACAACAACAGCAGCAACAAATGAGCAAAATATTGAATGATGCTGAAAGCATCCAAAGATGGAAGGACTGTGCAGAGTCACTGTGCTAAAATGAAATGGTACATGTTCAACCATTTCAAGAGGTAGCGTATGGTCAAGAGCCAATGATATTTAAGGAAGAAGTCCAAGATGAACTGAAGGCATTGGCAAAGAACAAGGCTCCTGGAATTGATGGAACACAAATTGAAATCTTTTAACAAACTGATGCAGCACTGGAGACACTCACTAATCTATGTCAAGAAATTTGGAAGATACCCATATTTGTGCCCATTTCAAAGTGAGGTGACCCAATAGAATGCATAAATCATCAGACAAGATCATTAATATTGCATGCAAGTAAAATTTTGCTAAAGATAATTCAAACACGGCTGTGATACTATATTTTCTGGGAACTTCCAGAAGTTCAAACCAGATTCAGACCTGGATGTGGAATGAGGAATATCACTGCTAATATCAGATGGGTCTTGGTTGAAAACAGAGAATACCAGAAAGATGTTTACCTGTGCTTTATTGATTACACAAAGGCTTTTGATTGAGTGATAAGCTATGGACAACATTGCAGAGAATGAGTATTCTGGAACACTGAAGTGTGCTCATGAGGAAGCTGTACATAGACCAAGAGGCAGTTGTTCAAACAGAACAAGGGAACACTGGATGATTTAAAATGAGGGAAGGTGTGCACCAGGGTTGTATTCTTTCACCATATTTATTCAATCTGTATGTTGAACAAATAAGCTGAGAAGCTGGAGTATATAAATAAAAATGTGGCATCAGGAATAGAGAAAGATTCATTAACAATCTGCGATATACAGATGATACAGTCTTGTTTGATGAAAGCTAGCAATACTTACTGATGAATATAAAAGACATTCATCATGGGCTTCGGTATGGGCTGCACCTCAATGTAAAGAAAACAAAAATCTTTCCCACTGGGCCAATAATAAATAACATAGAAATAAATGGATAAAAGATTGAAGTTGCCAAAGACTTCATTTTGCTTAGATCAACCTTCAATACTCATAGAAGCAGCCATCAAGATATCAAATGACACATTACATTAGGCAAATCTGCTGCACAAGATCTCTTTAAAGTGTTGAAGAGCAAGATATCTGTTTAAGGACTAAGGTTTGCCTGAACCAAGTCATTTCCAATAATGTCATATGGATGTGAAAGTTGGATAATAAACAAAAAAGATGAGGCATATTTGAGTTTTAGTGTTGGAGCAGAACTCTACCAAAGAACAAACAAACCTGTGTTGGAAGACATACAGTCAGAATGGTCCTTATATGTCAGGATGGTCAGACTTTGTTTCTCAGACTTTGGACACATCAGGAGTGACCTGTCTCTGTAGAAGGACATTAAGCTTGCTAAAGTGGAGGATAAGCAAAAATGAGGAAGACCCTCAATGAGATGAATTGGCACAGTGCCAGCAACAATGGACTCAAGCTTAGCAACAATTGTGAGGTTGGTACACAACCGGACAGTGGTTTTTATTCTACTGTATGTAAGGCTATTATGTGCTGGTACTGACTCGAGGGCACCTAACATTAGAATACAATGTACTCAACAACTCATATTTCTTCCTTTCAATATGTATTGTTGTTGCTGTTGTTAAGTGCCGTCAAGTTGGTTCTATTGCATAGCGACCTCATATAGGTATTCTTAGGAGCAACTACTGGGTTTGAATCTCTGCCCTTGTGGTTCAAACTGATCTTGTGGTCTAGTTACCCTGCCATTCCACACAGGGACTCCTCAATGAGTATTGTTGTTGTTGTTAAGTGTCGTCGAGTCAGTTCCGACCCACAGCGACCCTGTACAGGGTTTCCGAGGGTGTAAATCCTTACGGGAGTAGAAAGCCTCATCTTTCTCCCGCGGAGCAGC